ACACAAAAATTAAAAAAATAATTCTTCAAAACTGAGTTTTCCATTCAATGTTTATATTTCCCCACTGTCCTGTAAATGCCTGCTCCTCCGTGCTCTATATTTCCAATAAATTGGTGATTAGATCTAGAGGCCTGGCCAGAGTCTGGTATTATTACTATTACTACTAAGCAAAACTACTTCATGGGTGGTATTATGTACTTCCATCATAATATACATAATGCCTAGCTGTTTCTTTGTAATGTTAATAGTCTTTGTGATTATTGCCTAAGCCCATTAATTCGAGTTGCAAATACTGCTATTCTAATTATACCATTCCTTGATTATTAGTTGGAAAAATTCTATAAAGAGAAACTTCCACTTATCAATTCTTTGTGATCTAGCTCATAAGAGGAAAAGGAAAAAAAGGAGCTCTTAATTTACCAGTTACCAAAATAATGAGTCTTTCATGCCTGAGCTTCTTCCAGTAGTGACCAATGTTCTGTTAGTAGTGTTATTATGAAGTCATGGGTTTCGACATAGTTTATGTTTTTTCAGTCCATGGAAGTTATCAAGTTATTGATGCGTTAGCTGTCCATCTTCAATGAGTTGCACTTATTCAGGTTTGGATCCTGAGTTCTTTTTGACATAATCATAGTAATTTTTGCTTTTTGGTATGACAAAATGTTCCTAGATAATGTTGTACATTTTAAGCCCCAGACCTGGAATCAACCATTTTAAGCCCCAGACCTGGAATCAACCATTTTCCAAAAAAGCCCTGGTTATTTTTGGTAGGTAATGGTATTTAGAGGTCACAATCCAGGCATAAGCAGTGCTTGTTGCTACTGGATTGGTCGATTGTTCTTTTTAGTGGACAGAGCTAGGAAATTCTCATCTATGTGTAATGTATATATATTATACATATAAAAATAGTCTATAATAATAAAAGCATAATATGCAAATCAACCAAACGACTGAATAGCAGAACGACGGTCCAGACAACCTTCTGGACAACCACGCTATGACACGCACTGGTGCCAGGCCTGCCAAGGCAGGCGCAATGCGATTGGTCAAGGGGCCCTGCCATAGTCCCACGATTGCCCTGCAGAGTGAGGCTCAGGCCACCGGCAGGGCAATCAATGGCAGGGGGGGGGGGGGGGGAGCTCCATGATCACCCCAAAGAGGGAAGCACAGGTTACCCTCTGCGCGTTGATCAATCTTGGAGCCCTGACCAGGTGGGTGGAGCCTCCCTCTGCTGGGCAATTGATCGTGGAGCAGAGGCCCTGGCCACCAGGCCCAGGCTACCTGGCCCTGGGCCAGCGGTGCTACAGCGGGTGGGTGAGGACTCCCTCTGTGCAGTGATCAATCTGGGGACCCCGCCCACAGAGGGAGGCCCAGGCCAGCCAAGCAATTGAACCCCACACCTGTCGCCCACAGAGGAAAGCGTCCAATGGTGGGGGGGGGGGGGGGGGGGGGGCGCAGCACTGCACAGATGGCAAGCAGTGGCAGTCATGGGGGCAGGTCCAGCTGCTGGCAGCCTGGGAAAGGAAAGCCCCGATAGGCCCTGATCAATGGCCAGGCCTAGGGACCCTACCTGAGGGGTCCCGGATTGTGAGAGGGCACAGGCAGCGCTCAGGGACACTCCCCTCCGCCCCCCCAACCGTGCACCGGGCCTCTAGTTTTACATATATACTTAGAAATATCTTATGTGTTCCTACTAATCCCAGCAATTCAATTCAAGAACACAGATTTTCATTTAACTTTATCAGCAATCTTAATCTATATTTCCTTTTAATCATGTCAAAAATCTTATCTCAACTAAAATACAGAAAAGCTTCCTGAATAATCAATGGAAAACTCACAGGAGAGAACCCTGACACCTGAGGACCGAAAGAGGAGATCGCATAGAGACTGTTCTAAAAAAAAAATCTCATCTCAATATCCTCAACATAACTCATTTGACTTAACCCACAATACAAACACAACCTCAGAATAACAATATGATTACTAAAGATTTTTTTGGAGTATTTTTGTTTTGTTTTGAAACAGCCCTCTAAGGGATGTATATTCAAATTGCTTGAGATAGTTACTCTATGTACTAACCCTAACAAGGGAATACTGTTAATTTCACTTTCATTTCTAGGGATAACTTTATTAAAAATATATTTTGTTTATAATATAAAGTATCTACCATGGTCCCAGAGTCAAATCTACAAAACAAAGTATATTCAAAGACCTCTAGCTTCTTAGTCCCCTAACCCTATACCCTCCTTTTTCTACAGGTAAAACTTTTTTCAATTTTATGGTTTATCCTTCCATGGTTTCTTAATGGAGCAAATATGTGCATTTATTTGTATTCCTACTTGTCTTAGAGAATTATACAATGTCCTCTCTGATTTTTCCATCACTATATGCTAAAGATCACTCAGTAGTATATACAGACTTTCCTTATCTGCTGATAGGTCCAGAGTATCTAATATTTTGCTGTTAAATAGAATTCTAAGAGTATACTGTCAAAATTTTGAATTTTTAATTACTAGAGGCCCAGTGCACAAAAATTGCCCACAGTCCAGCCTGTGCCCTCTCTTAGTCTGGGACTTCTCGGGGGATGTCCACCTGCTGGCTTAGGCCTGCTCCCCAGGGGAGCAGGCTTAAGCTGCAGTCAGATATCCTTAGCGCTGCTGAGGCGGCGGGAGAGGCTCCCACCACCACCACTGTGCTGGCAGCCATCAGCCTGGCTTGTGGCTGAGCTGAGCTCCCCGTGAGAGCGCAATGACCACCAGGGGGCAGCTCCTGCATTGAGCGTCTGCCCCTGGTGGTCACTGTGTCATAATGGCCAGTCATTCCCAGTAGTTCTGTTGTTAGGGTCAATTTGCATATTATCCTTTTATTATATAGGATAGAGGCCTGGTGCACGGGTGGGGGCTAGCTGGTTTGCCTTGAAGGGTGTCCTGGATCAGGGTGGGGGTCCCACTGGGGTGCCTGGTCAGCCTGGGTGAGGGGCTGATGGCTGTTTGCAGGCTGGTCAAGCCCCCCAGTGGGAACCCTCACCCCATGGGGGTGTGGCCAGCCTGGGTGAGGGGCTGATGGCCGTTTTCAGGGTGGCCATGTCCCCCAGCGACCCAAGCTCCCAGCCTCTCCTTTTTTTTCCCTCCCCCCTGGGATTTATTTTTCAATAATTGAAACTTTGTAGCCTTGAGCGGACCTTAGGGCCGGCCAGGGCAGGCGTGAAGCTTGGCTTCCTCCATCGCCGGGAGCAACCCAAGCCTCCTGCTCGCTCCAGCTCTGTGGCCACTGCCATCTTAGTTGGGTTAATTTGCATACTCGCTCCTGACTGGCTTGTGGGCGTGGCTTGAGCATAGCAGAGGGACAGTTAATTTGCATGTTTCTCTTTAATTATATAGGATAGTTTAGAAATAGGTAGTTTTATTTTTTAAATATATTTTTATTGATTTCAGAGAGGAAGGGATAGAAACATCAATGATGAGAGAGAAACATTGATAGGCTGCCTCCTGCACACCCCCTACTGGAGATTAAGCCTGCCACCCAAGCATGTGCCCTTGACCAGAATCAAACCCAGGACCCTTCAGTCCACTTGCGGATGCTCTATCCACTGAGCCAAACCAGTTAAAGTGAGAAATGGGTAGTTTTAATTTGCATTATGAGCAAAGGTGAGCATATTTGCATTTAAGAGCCATTTGCATTTTTCATATGAAATACTGGATCATCTCTGAAAAATATAGGTTTAATCTCTAAAGTTATTCTCTATTTTTAGAAGCTCTTTATATAGTATGGCTATTAACATTTTGTGATATAAGCTGGAAGTTTTTCTTTTGCAGTTTCATTCTTTTACTTTGCCATGAAAATGCTTTGCTTTTAAAGTAACCAAATATATCGATCGTTCCCCTTATTGCTTTTGGATTTGGAGTCATAGGAAATCTTTCTTCTATAGTGAGTTTTCTTCTAATGCATTTATAGTTTCATTTTTACATTTTTACATTTAAATCTTTGATCTAAAGAGTGTCCCAAAAAGTGTATACACACTCTGAATGCAAGTCACTGTTTATTAATATACAGTTCATTTTCTAAATTTAAAAGACTCTATAGCAGTGGTTCTCAACCTGTGGGTCACAACCCCTTTGGGGGTCAAACGACCCTTTCACAGAGGTCGCCTAAGACCATCGGAAAACACATATATAATTACATACTATTTTTGTGATTAATCAATATGCTTTAATTATGTTCAATTTGTAACAATGAAATTGGGCATCACCACAACATGAGGAACTATATTAAAGGGTCGCAGCATTAGGAAGGTTGAGAACCACTGCGCTATAGAAATGAATAATTGTTTTTGTCAATGCCTATTTTCAAACTGATGACCATTCTGGTCCAGGCACTGCTGATAATGCGAAGCAAAGGAATAGTAAACATCAAGAATCATTTTGCTCAGTATTTGTGCGCCCTCAATTCATCAACTGTTGCTGGTTTTTGTACCATAAACTTTATCCTTTATGTATCTCAATAAAAAAGTCTGGTGAATAAATTTTGATCAAAGCTTAGTCTGGCTTTATCCAGTATTTCAAATCAGTTAAACCTGAAAAGGAGTGAAAATTAAGTTGAGTTATCAGCTGTCAAGTGTGTATACATCTTTTGGAGGGGGGCGGGGGGGTGGATACATGGTGTTTGAATAATTATAAAGGTAGTGTTTGTACTTCAACTGCATTTTCAAACTTCCAGTAGCATTTTAGGATGAATTTCCTTTGTTCAAAGCTTAGTCTGGCTGAAAAGAAAGAAACATCAATTGAGCTATCAGTTGTTAAAGTGTGTGTACATGTTTTTGGGACATGTATTTAGAATTTATCCTAGTGTGACTGTATAAAGAACTGATCCAACATTATCTTTTTTTCCTTTTGGCTATCTGGTGATCTCAACACCACATATTATTTGGATTTAAGATGCCAAAGACAGACACTTTTTAATGACTAAAAATTCATTAAATCAGGAAGTATAATAAACCATTATATCAGACAGATAATAAGAATTCTATATTTGTATAAAACTAATAACATAGCCTCAAAATAGATAAAACAAAAATTGACAGAATAAAGAGAAACACTGAAAAATTGACAATCATTTTGGGAGACTTTCAGTCACTAATAGTACAAGAAAACAAATATCGATAATGATACAGACAATTTGAGCTACACAATAAGAAACCTCACCTAATGGATGTACACAGAACATTAGCATCAAGAATGGCAGAATTCACATTCTTCTCAAATACACATCAAATATTTACAAAAAGATTGGATGTTGAGCCATGAAAGAAGATCCAAAAAATGTAAGAGAATATTCTTTCACCAAGCTAGAAATCATTAGCAAATAATTAGATAATTATCGTATATTTGGAAATTAGGAAATACACTTCCAAATAATATTTGGGTAAAAGAAATTACATGGACTTTAGTAGATACTTTGAACACAATGGAGTATTATATATTAAAATTTGTGGAATGCAGCTAAAAATCATGCTTAGAGAGAAAATTATAGCCTAAACACATATATTTAAAAAACAGAAAAGAAAGGGTACAATGAGGTAAGCTTCCAAAAACTTAGGAATTCCCCAATTCAAGAAGTTATAAAAAGAACATCAATTAAACCTAAAGAAACAAGAAGAAAATAAACATAAAAGCAGAAACCAATGAAACATAAAAGATTAAGTAGGTCCATATTCATTCTCTGAAATGATTTATAACATTAGTAAGCCCTGGCAAAATAATAAGAATGAGAGCAAATAAGAACAGGCACAAATAACCAATAGCAGGAATGAAAAACAGAACGTTACTATACAGTATAACAGATGTTGCAAAACGCATAAGTGGGTAGTATGAACAATTTTTTTTGCCAATAAGTTTGAAAATGTAGGCAAAATGGACAAATTCATTAAAAATACAATTTATCAAAAGTGACACAAGAAGTACTCAGAACAGTCCCATACAGATTAAAGAAACTGAGTCCATAATTAAATTTTTCCCGAAAGAAAACTCTAGACCAAATGGCCTAACTGGAGAATTCTACCTAACATTTAAGGAAGAAATAACATCAGCCTTAAACAAAGTCTTCTAGAGAACAGTAAAAAAAGAAACACTTTTCAATTCGTTTTATTAGGGTAGAATATTCATGATACTAAAATTGATAATACAAAAACAAAAGGAAGTTACATGGCAATCTCACGACCACAGATGGTAAAATGTTAAACAAAACATTAACAAATTAGATCTTGCAATATATAACTCAACCACCAAGTTGTGTTTATTCTAGGAATACAGATGGTTTTAATATTTAAAAAGCTACAAATGCTTCCTGCATTAACAGAATAAAAGAAAACAACCTTCTCAATCTATACAAAAAGAGCATTTGATAAAATTTAATACCCATTCATAGTAAGGGCTCGTAGGAAATAGGCATCCAAGGGAAGTAACATGATAAAGGGTATCTGTGCCAAAGCATGATACATTACAGTGAGCAGGTGAAACTTTCCCTCTGAGATCAGGAAAGAGCTGAGGTTAGTCACTATTGATGCTTCTACTGAGCACTGTTCTAGCTGTTGTCCTAACCAGTATAAGGCAAGAAGAAGAAGGCTCAAAGATTGAGAAGAAAACATTAAAGTTCATTATTTACGGTGACATGATTGCATACATAGAAAATAAAAAAGAATCTAAAAAGTTATTTGTATAAGTGACCTTAACATGATTGCTAGATACTAGGTCGATATACAGTGGGGCCTTGACTTACGAGTTTAATTCGTTCCGAGACCGAGTTCGTTAAGGAGCTCATTAACTCAAATTACTCTATCAACTCAATGCAAAAAATCGGCCGAGAGACAGCTGGTATCTCAAAAAACTCGTTAGTCGGGACACTCATAAGTCAAGGCCCCACTGTACTAAAATCAACTGTACTTTTATCAGCAAGTAACAAAATAACAACACAAAGTTAACATTTTAATAACATAAAAAAAATTAACTCCCTAGGACTAAATCTAACAGAGATGCAAAATATCTCTACACAAAACTATAAAATATTATAGGAGAAATTAAAGACCTAAATATTAAAATAAGGAAGACCTAAATAATTATCCAGTGGCAGTATAGGCTAAAATCTATTACTGGCAAAAGGATAAATTAATGAAACAAAATAGAATCTAGAAAGCGATCCATCCATACACAGACCCTTGACTTATGGCACAGTGGTGCTGCAGGTTAGCAAAGAAAGGCAGTCTTCAATGAACAGCGCTGGAGCAACTGAATAGCATAAGGGAAAAAAGTGAAACAACCCTAACCTTACAACTTTTACAAAAATCAATTCCAGGTGGATTATAGATCTAATGTGAAAGTAAAACTTAGAAGAGGTAACAATATTTTCCAGACCTCTGGGAAGTTTTCTTAAACAGGACACAAAAATCATTATGAAAAGATAAATTTTAACAATCACTTCAGTTCCTGAAATAATTATCTAAGACATCATTGAGTGGGAAAAGCTATTTGCAACACATGTAAACCAGGATTTGCATTAATATATAAATTCATAAAATCAGTAAGTTATAGTTCAGTATTTTAAAAAAGGACCATACAAAAAATGATGTTTTACCAAATTCTATCTTTATACTTGTTTCCAATGTAATCTATAATTTTATTGGATTTTTACTTATGATAATTTTTGTGTCTTTATAGGAATCCAGTTGGTGGGAGAATTCAGTTGGTTGTTGCCACTGTAATTGCTCTTTTCCCATTTACTGCCTGGCTCTACATATATATTAACAAGGAGATGCGTTCCTCCTGGCCAACTCACTGCAAGACAGTCATTTAAATGAAATGAAGAATACTGTTCTCAAAATGAGAATATTCAATTTTTATAAACATGGATTTTATTTTTTTAATCCCAGGAACTTTTTAAGGCTGACTACAGGGTTGGATGGGACTAGTAAGAGACGGGGGTCTGACACCCTATTGTGTCATAGTGTAGTACAAAAGGCAGTTGAAAAAAAGTTAAGAAATATGAATTCTAACTCAGCTTCCTCACTATCTATGTGACTTGGGAAATATAAAAAACCTCCTGGTGGTTCTTTCTTTATCTATAAACCAGGATTAAAACTAGATCTACTTATACAAAGTTGGAAACTAGATATTATGAGAGCACTCTAAAAATATAAATTGCTTACAAAGGGCTACTACGCATGATTAAAATACAGGGAAGCGGGGCTTGGTTAATATGACAGAAGTAGAGGTTCAAGAGGGGACTGTCTCCCTGACCTAATCTCATTACATTTAACTGTACAGTGCCATGAACTAAATGAGGACCCGGATGAAACAAATAAGCAAGCATGTCTTGGAAAGAAAGGAAAATTAGATCAAGGAATTTGGAACCAAAAAGGAAACAATATCAATTACACTGTAAATAAAAAATAAGACTGAAGTCTATACACATTTGAAAAAAATGAATTTCAAAAGTAACCCTGGGGTGAGACCATGTTAGAGCTGTCCTCTCCAATACCGCAGCCACCAGCCACGTGTGCACTGAGCACTTGAAATGTGTCTAGACGGAGGACATTTTCTTTTCCATTTTAATTTAAAAACTTATCAATTCAGCTATTAGAAAGCTTATAATGTTTGGAACACTTGTTTTAAGCATGCTTGGAGTAAGTATGTGAACCTACTGCAAATTTTATATCTAAAACTAGATCAAGTATTTCTAATGAAGTTAGTGTCCAATGCATGGGTTGAATTATAAAATATACACTAGATTTTAAAGACATAGTATAACAAATGTAAAATTTTTATATCGATTACATTTTGAAATATTTTAGATATATTGGGGTAAATAAAACGTATTGGAAGTTGATTTTATCTGTTTCTATTTACTGTTTTAACTTCTTTTTATTGCTTAAAATATTACAAAGAGTAGTACATTTGTCTTTTTATTTTTCCCCTTGACCTTCCCCCAGCCTCTATTTACTGTTTTAAATGTGACTGCTAAAATACTTTATTCATGAGGCTCGCATTATATTTCTGCTGGTCAATGCTGTTTATATGGCAACTTTTTCACATGGGCTACTCAAGACACCATTTCACGAGATGTAGGAAATATTTCAATCAAAAAGTATTAGCACCAATCATAACTCAGGAGAGTGAAAATGAGCCTGGTAGTTTGTCTCTATTCTTATAACCTTAAATACAATTTAAGTGTTCTATAAATGTTTGTTTAAGGAGGTATACATGTGTTTTATTTTACACAATGGCCTCTGGATAGTCAGAAATTCTTGATCAAGATTTAGATAATGTAAAAGGGGAAAAAATCTAGTTGACATTAAAGTGATTAAAGTGAAATTTACTTTAAGGATTTCAGTGTTCCAATGTGCATTTAGTCTGTATAGCAGTTACGGCTTTTATACCTTTTTGTATAATTATTAAGGTCATACATGAGGAAATGGACTTACTTGCAAATTCTATATAGAACCTACCCATCCTCCAAGTCATGCTTGATTCTGTGCTTAAAAGTCAATAATGTTCCAATTTGAAAAAAAATGTCCAAGATACACGTTCATTTTATCTGCATCTCCCACATCACACTGAACATGTGAGTTGATAGCTCCTTTTAAATCTCCGTAAGTATATTTAAGGAACTAACTTTTGGTAGAGTACTGCCTTTAGAAAAGAGCATTACTGAAATTACTTTTAAACTCTACTTTTCAATTGAAGCATTACCAGTAAGTTTAATATTTCTACTATCAAAACATGTCTTCTCACCCCCAATCTTCTCTCTTCCCACTGAGACTTGTACACCAGCCTCTCATCATCTACTGCCTGGGCTGAAGCACGAATCTAATCATATATGGCCCAGCTCAGGAGCCTGGGGTTCTCACACTGTGTGACAAGATAAGTCTGAACTCTGGGCTGGTCATTCAAGGCTCTTCTGCACACAGCCATAGCCTAACCTTTTCCTGTTTTATTACTCGGCACCTTTCGGTGAATCGTCGTATCATTACTTGCATCTCCTAAACTCAGCATATCCTTCAATGCCTCTGCTTATGCTATTCTGTTTACTTGAAATGCACTTCCACACCCATTTAACCCTTTCTTCTTCCTTCTTCAAGTCATCCCTAATCCCTTCAAGCAACATGAAATTCCTGCTCCATATTCTTCACACACTTGTATGTAGGGGTCTGTTTCCTCACCATTATACAGCTGGTTACTGCAGGGAGTACATCAGTCACCTCGGAGGTAGGCTGGATAATGCCCCTCAAAGATACCCAGGCCCTAATCTCCAGGACCTAGGAATGTTACCTTATATAGCAAAATGGAGCATGGCCCTAACAGCAGCTTGATCCCAGCCCAGTGAAAATAACTTCTGACTTTTGACTCCAGAACTGTTAAGAGAACAAATATGTTACTTAAACCACCAAGTCTGTGGTAATTTGTCACCACAGCCATAGAAAACAAATAGACCTGTACTGCCTAGGTAAGGGGTTGGGCAGGCACACTCACGTTGATCAGCATTGGTTGATCCCTTACTGTTTTTAAGCCCTTAATCAAACCTTCTCTACACTCCAAACAGTCCCCATTTGCCATATAGTGTTTCTGCAAATAAGCCTTAGCATGACAACTGAATTGAACACGTCCCATTTATCTACGAAGGGAGTCAAGGGTGAATTCATTTAGCTGCTATCAATCCTCATGCAGCTCTAGCTGGTGGCCCAAACAGACCCCAGAAACAGGCACACAGCTGCACTGGCCACATAACTTCTCTGAAGGCCCTTCTTATAGTCTCACACGAGAGGCACACATCACTTATGGGAATGGGAGCACCATTCATTCATTCACCTGTGGAGTAACATGACAGTTTGGGTCTACAAAATAGGAACACAAGCTTATAAAAATATAATATGATGGCTATTCTGAGCAAAAAAATGTCCAAAGCTCATTTGCACAGGATGGTTAGAAGGAAAAGCTTTACCTGAGCAGTTTTATTATGAATTTTAAGTTACATAGCTAGTAAATGAGCATATTCTCCTCGTAAAAAATTTTTTAAAAGTCTCAGGTAAGGCGAAAATAAAGTCTGTTTTGAGGACTATACCCCACCCCCACCCTGCCCGGTCTCCTCCCTGGTTCATTCATGGCACTTTGATTCATTTTCTTTCCAATTTTTAGCACTGGATATACATTCCAAAATGACTTCAGAATGTCTTATGAGCAAAACACCCTGAAGCCATAAATACATTTTGTTACACCAACAGAATACTAAACAATGAGACAGAGGAGTTAGGGGTGGGGTAACGGAGCGCAAACATGAAGCTAAGTCTCCTCTTTCAATATGGATAAAATAAATCAGACTAAAAGTGGAAAAGGTTTTTCCTTCCTGTAATTCATAATTCTGTCTGTAACTCGGCCGCTCCCCTTCAACATCATTTTGTCGGGATAGACATAAATCGTGCCAAAAGCCTGGCTGTCCGGAGCTGTTTCAATGACTCCTTCCACGTTGATGTGGTGCACACCAAAAGGATCCTCAGAGTAGCCACCATCGTGGGTGTGACCGGCGAAGAAACACACCACACACTCATGAGACCAAATGACTGCGAGGGCGTCTCTGTAATTCCAGGCCAGGCACACAGAGTCAGAGGCCTCTGGGTAAATGGGAAGATGACCTGTTAGTTAAAGAGAAGAGTTGTGAGCCAATTAGGATACACCACTTTCACCAAAATAAATGGCTAAAAACGAGTACTCAGGAAAACAATGTGCATTGCTCCTTCATTATGGGCTGAGACCAGCGAGAATTCACATACATGAAGAATGAAGTAATCTATAGCCAGGAGTCTGGAGCATAAAGGAGGGTGAGATAGTTCACATGCAAGAGCAGAGGCCACAGCAGAGACAGAAGCCCTGCGAGTCCCAGGATGTACACACGTCAAGGGAGACAGAGGCATCCCGCACAGGGCAGTCTGCAAAGGCAGTAGAATCAGGCCAGTGCTGTGCTGGAGTCCAGCCTCCGACTTCTGAAAGTATAGACATGTTACATACACACACAGAGGTACTCTTACATAAAAGATAGCTTAGGGATGGACCAGTGAATAATATGTCATTTTTTCTAAACACTCAATGTTTTATAAAGAACTGATTTATGCCCCTTTAAACACCTCCAGGAGAACAAGGTAGTCATAGCCATTTTAGAGATGAGAAAAGTAGGCGAAAGTGGGGAATATTCATACTAGGTCCCACAGGAGATATGTGGAAGTAGATGCCAAGACGTAAATGAGGCCACATCCTACATCAGGCCACATTTCACTCTGAAGGACAGATACAATAGCCCATTGGTCTTTGCTTCTTCCCACTAATTCTGATACTGTTTATTTTTATTCTGCTTAATATCTACTAGTTTTGTATAAAAAGGGGGGCTAATAGTGCACACCTGTCCGCACACATACACTCAGCTCCTCTTTAAGATGTGACAAGGATAGGGGAGGACTGTCAAGGGCGGGGGAAAAAAAAGGACACATATGTAATACCCTTTGTAATACTTTAAGCAAAAAAAAAAAAAAAAAAGATGTGACAAGGGCTAAGGGTCCAAAGAGGCCATGTGACTTTCCAGATCTAGATGCCACACGGGAAGCACCTATCAAATCCCTGTAGCGCTGGACACAATTAGTTGCTCCCTTTTTCTGGAAACACCTGGCTCCCAGGACAGTACCAATCCTCCCAGTTTCCCTCCAACCTCAAGGCTACTGATTCTCACTCTCCTTTGCTGGCTCCTCATTTCCCCAGTATCTTATTAGGAGTGCCTGAATGCTTGGTTTGTGGGCTTCACTTCTGTCTACACCTAAAGACTTGGTGATCTCTTAGCAATGTCCATAGTTTTAAATATCATCCGTATTCTTTCAACTTCCACATTTATACACCTAGCTCAAACCTCTATTCTGAATTTCAGATTCATTATACTCAACATCTCTGCTCATGTGTAACAGGCACCTGAAAGTTAATCTTTTCAACCTTGAACTCCTGAGCTCTCCACCCAAAGCCCCCTCCTGCTGCAGTGTTCCATATTCCAGCTAACAGCAATTCTGTCTTCCAACTTCATGGCCAGAACTCTAGAATTAGGCAAAATGACATGTGAGTAGCCAAAAGGGAAGTGTAAAAGCAAACAAAAAGAAAATTTCGATTAGTCATTTTAAACTTTGCTAAAGAAAACCCAAGGCACTGAGTTAAAGGTTTGTTCATCCAGTTTCTAAGCTTACAGGAAAACAGGAGGAATTTTAGAGACTGGTAATGTAGATAAGTGAGCTGACATAAATACAATGAGAAGACAGGATAGTGTGGGAAAGGGGCTGGGATACAAAACATGGACTCTCTAGCCTCAATTCTGTCAGGAGCTGAGGGATTTTAGCTATGTTGTTTAATCTCTTTTGGTTCAGTTTCTTTATCTTTAAAATTAAAAGGTCTGACTATATGTTCTCTAGGTCCCTTTTAGCGCCAGTATTCTCTAAAGCAGGGGTGGGGAACGTCCAGCCCACAAAATCACTTGGTTGGCCCTGCCAAGGCATTAGGGGTGAGTTAATTAAATGTCTGACCAAATACAGCAGCTAATGTTTGAGTTGATAATTCTGTATGGCCCGGGAATGATGTTATAAATATCCAAATGGCCCTGGGCAGAACAAAGGTTCCCCATGCCTCTAAAGTCACAAGTACAACTTAACAGCGAAGAAGAGACAAGTCAAGAAGTCTCAGTTTTTGAGACCACTCATTGTAAAGCCAAAATAGTGTCACATCATGCCAATAACCCCTGAGGGTCCCTTACATTTTCCAAGCCTTGAATGATATTTGATGGTAGCAGAAACACCCTTAACTCCATCTACATGTTTTTACTACATCAATGAAAGGTAATAAGTAAAAACTATATTGATAGAAACCTCATTTTATATCAATTACCTGAGCAGCCTATCATTTTCTTCACAATTTCATTTGATGCAATATTGAGAAAACTGCAGTTTGTAGGTTCGACATATGCCCAATCAAAGCTCATAGATGTAAGCGCCAGAATGGCATTCTGTCCTTGTGACCCTTAGTCCATGTTCTTATCCATTACGCCACATCAATTTGATCCCTAAAACAAGGGATATAATCTCAGCCCCCCAACCAAGTATACCAGTCACAATGCAAATCCCAAGTCAGTTCTTTGTATATACATACATGTGCACACAGCCAATGCATGTACTGTAAGCACCTCTAGATTCCTAAATCTCTGATGGCAGCATGTCTGTCAGAAACGATTCTAAATGAAAACAATAATCACGTAAGTGCTCACTGTCAGTTGTATCTCTAACACTTGTCCCTGTTACATCGGCTTTGCTTTCATCCAGGCAGCAGGGCCAGAGGTGTGGTAGGGGACCTAGATTGAATTTTTCATTTAAATATTACTATGTAAATTGATCCCATTTGGAGAAATTCTACTATGAAATCTAAAAAGCCAATTCACAGGCTCTAGTATTTGGCAAGATGTTTTTGTTACTTTACAATTCAATTCTTCCCTGACTCGACCTTAAATGTTAATCTCATACTTAGATTGTTTTTAAATTTAACCTAAGCATTCATTTTACTGAAAGAGGATATCACATGTTATTAGTATGCTTTAAAATCTAATTTCCCATTCTCTAAAATGCTAGTATACACAAATCATTTAAATACTTACTCACGATCACCACCTTTTCTTGGTTTGTGTCAGAGAATGTAAGGACTTCATTCAACCAGTTCAGTTGTTCTTGGCTGAATCCTCCATTAAACTGGACAAACTGAGGCTCAGAAAGTCCTAAAATAAATTCTGTAAGTTAGAGCCACCAAATACAATTTTCTCATCATTAGGGCATTTTAACTTAGCTAATATGGGTAACTTATACTTCTCTTTAGGAACATTTGGCAGCAATCGACTTAACACAGGAAACCACAAGAATTTAGAATATACAAATAAATCACACTGTACCAGTGTCTTGCGTCTAGTCTTGACACTCCTCTGCTTATTTCACTAGCTTCCTGTTACACTGAAAATAAATTAGACTCTTAACTGTCCACAGGGCTCCTGCAAAATCATCCTGCACATTGGCCCTTCCTGCGTTCAAGAATGCCAGCCTTAACTATGCTTAGTGCCTCTGCATTTGTTTATCCCTCTGTCACAAATACTCTGCCCAAGGTTGACTCCCTCCTGTCATTTAGATTTCAGCTTAAATGTTTTCTCCTTGGAAAGGCCATCTCTGACCACCTAAACTAAATCAGTCCTCTCAGTCATACTTCATTTTCTTGGTAGGATATATCATTGTGGAAATAATTTGTTACGATTTCATTTATTATTTGTCCTATTTTTCTTGTTCCTTCCACTCTACCCATTAAAAAAGTGATATTGTCAATACTGCTTACAGTCCTAAATAGCTAAGCTCTAGAAAAAGTGCTCAGCCCAGAACAATCATTCAGATATTTAAATAAATCTTCAACCAACACAGCAACCAATCCATGTGCCATGAGGCTTGTGAGAAATCCTGACCCTGAACAACAGTGACAATATACTTTTACCTTAGTCATCCATCTTCCTGCCGAATAAAAGGTAGCTGAAGAATTTAAAGACAATGTATTAGACTCTCAGCTCAAAGGAATAATTCACCTTGAGGACTATTCAATTCCATATTTGGATTGTGCTCCTTCAGCATCTTCAGACACTGCTGGTATTTTGGAGAGGACTGGTCCACGCCCAAGACACTCAAGTCATAAGAATCGAGTAAAATGAACCGGAATTTAGGGAATGGAACAAAATGGTAAGCGTAAAAACTCCCCGTAGGCACAGTTTCCGGATGGTGTTCAATCTGGTCTTCTAGAAACTTTGTGTTCAGTTTAGAGTTTGTTAAATAGTCTCTGCTGAAGTTATAGAATTCATGATTTCCCCACGTGTGATGAACTGGGACTTTAAGCCTTTTGAACACGTTCATAACAAGTTCTAGTGACTTTTCTGATGCTTTATACTGCGCATTGTAGCCATCAATGATATCTCCAAGCTGAAGGACACAACAGGGTGGACTGCTTTCTCTATTCCAGTGTTCAATAGCACCCTGCAAGTGAAGAAGACTGTGTCTGTAGTATCTTCTTCTGGTTCCTTGGTAATTATAGCCATCTTCTAAGTTAGCATATTGAATATCTGCTATAACTCCAAAGGAGAAGAGATGTTCTGAACTCTCACTTACGGCTCCAGGACTGGGCTTGTCATCCATAACCTCTGAACAGATTTCTAAATAAAGTATAAAAGATAACTCAGTTATAAACATCTTAATCTTCTAAATGGTAAAGTGGATATTAAACTTAATAGTTGACTCACTAGGTAGCTTGGTATAGACCAGGGGTGGGCAAACTTTTTGACTCGAGGGCCACAATGGGTTCTTAAACTGGACCGGAGGGCTGGAACAAAAGCATGGATGGAGTGTTTGTGTGAACTAATATAAATTCAAAGTAAACATCATTACATAAAAGGGTACGGTCTTTTTTTGTTTGTTTGTTTTATTCATTTCAAACGGGCCGAATCCGGCCCGTGGGCCGTAGTTTGCCCACGGCATGTATAGACTCTATAGAGGAAAGTGCCTGGGCTTTAGAGTCTTAGGTCCAAATTACCAAGACCTTGAAATGTTTCAGTTTTCTTATCTGTAAAATAGAGAATAACCCGTATTCTTTAGAAGGGTATTAATTTACAAGAGTATTATTCTATTAATGAATAGGCATTCTAATTCTAGTCAAGTCAAAATCAAATCTGGAATAATCTGTAATTTTTACAAAATATACACTAATTTTAAACAGGCACCTTCTTCTAATAATTCTATAAAAATTTCAGGATTTTTTGCAAGTCATACATTATATTCATTCATTGTACTTTATTAAATTCCTGCTGTGGGTTATTTTGTGTCTTTGTTGGTGGGTAAGTTTCTCATATTTTTTATCTGGGATAAAAGGGTAAAGACATGAGAATAATAATTTTAAACAAAAAAATCTGGAACAAAAACTATGTATGACATTGATGTGACTATTTTCACTTAAAAAATTTTTTTTAATATATTTTTATTGACTTCAGAGAGGAAGGGTGACAGAGAGATAGAAACAGCAATGATAAGAGAGTCATTGATTGGCTTTCTCCTGCACGCTCCACACTAGGGATTGAGCCAGCAACCCGGGCATGTGCCCTGACCGGGAATCAAACCATGATCTCCTGGTTCATAGGTTGACACTCAACCACTGAGCCATGCCAGCGGGACTATTTTCACTTATGAGAGTAGGGGGTCTTGGTTCTTCAATAGTTGGATATTAATTTCAAACCGCTTTTTAAAAGCTAAATATGAACTCCCCTTCCTTACAACAAAACGGATATGTGAAATTCTAATTGTCAGTGTTCCTATCAGAGGTGGAGGTGACAACCCCACAACTGGCAGTAAAGGCCAGACTTCAATTTGACTAATTTGAGAATTAGGGGCTTCTTTTCATTCTACAACTATCTGACGCACCCAATTATGAGCTTCAGCTACTTTCCTTTCTTCCCTAATCTGGTTGGGTATAATTATTCCAAAAACAGGTAAAACAGCACCAGAAAAAGAGATGGAGACCCTAAAACATGGCCTGTGTTCTTACACTGGGTTTTTTCATTTGCTCATTTTTCCTGCAGTCCCCATTTGAAAACCCCACCAGATAGCAAGTCAGTCTATAAGTGTGAGGGTGGGTAGATGAGATAATCTGATTTGGAAGGCAAAGAACTCAGGTACAATTATAATAAATACAAAACTCACCTAAGTCAGCTGAAAAGCTCTAGTTCTAATAGATTTCAAATATTTACGATTCCAAGTACAGATTAATAGAAGACTCAAATTAAAAGATAATTTAGCAAAAGTATCAGTGGAACATTATTACCAAAGCTTAAGAGAAAACTGTTTCTGGGAGTGCTTTTGTCCCTTGTCAAATGCGCTTATTTTTAACTTTAAACTTAGAGCCTTTAAGGCAATAATAAGTACTTGTGTAACTCTTAGAGGACATTTAGCCCCTGTTAATTTCATCTTCTCTCCAGTAGATAGCTGATATTTCTGCCTGCCTAGCATCCATTTCCTGTTCTTGTAACAGCACCGCAATATCTCTTGAGATATCTACCTAATTCCTCAATCTTACTTCATGTGGTTTGAGAGGCAGACACATGACCCAGGGTTGGCCTATAAAAGCCATTCCCTACTTGTCAGGGGTAGGCATATAACCTAAGCTGGGCCAAGGGTCAGCCCTGGGACTTTTGTTGGAACTATGAGCAAAATTATTAGAACTACTTCTACTAAGTTGATAACTAAGACTGGAACTGCTGAGGGAAAATTAACTAAGAAATCTGACTGACAGAAAGAAGTAGGTAGAGTCCTGGGATGAATACCTGGATCCACCTGTTCCTGCCAGAACTAATATTGGCCATTGAGTTATATCAGCCAAGAAATTCTCCTTTGAGCTTAAAGTCAAAGTGAATTGGCTTTACTTTTCTATCATGTGATTCCAATCAGACACATCTTCCTGGGACACAGTTCAGGTTAGGGATAAAGTAAGATTCGCCAACTTTTTAAAGTGAAGCAACATGGAAAGAACCAGCAAGGACCATACACTTCCAAAGAGCAATGTGTTCTGGAGTAGAAAAGAGATCAAAATACTGAATGCATATAGCTTTTAAAAATAAGGTCATGGCCCTAGCTGGTTTGGCTCAGTGGATAGAGCGTTAGCCTGCAGACTGAAGGGTTCTGGGTTCAATGCCAGTCAAGGGCACATGCCTGGGTTTCGGGCTTGATCCCCAGTAGGGGGCGTGCAGGAGACAGCCCATCAATGATTTGCTCTCATCATTGATGTTTCTCCCCCCCCCCTCTGAAATCAATAAAAATATATTTTAAAAAAATAAGGTTATGTTATCAGTACAAAATTGAAAGACTCAGAAAGGTGAAGAATAAGAGGTTAGGCAAAGATAATCCCAGAAAAATCAAATATAAGAAAACAGAGGTTACTCCTTTGATGTTGCATTAGGTAGAACTCAGGCCAGAAATGATTAAAGAGGGAGACACAAATAAGGCTACAAGCTGCAAGCTCAATGAAGATGTACTATTGGATACATGGATATTATGACAACTTTGATTTTTAAAAAACGTCTTAGGAGGGTCAATAAGACTTGGAAACATTAATAAGACTTAAAACCTCTCTTAGTTGAAGATAGATCAAGTAGACAAAAATTTTATAAGGCTATTGAAGACCTAAATAATACAACCAAAAGGTGGATCTCATTATCGTGTATTACATATGAAAGAATACACCTTCTTTGCAAATGCACATGTAACACTGAAGAAAAATGATCATTTGTTGACATATAAAGAAAATTCCCTCAAATTAAAAAATAATAAAAATAAGAATAAGGTTATGGCCCTGGCAGAATTGCTCAGCTGGTTGGGCATCATAAAGGTTGTAGGCTCGATCCCAGATCAGGGCACATACTGCATAGATGTTTCTCCCTCTCTCTCTAAAACCAAGAAATATGCCCTGGCCGGTTTTGGCCAGTGGTTGGAGCACTGACCCGTGGACCAAAGGGTCGAGGGTTCGAGTCCCAGTCAAGTGCTAGCACCTTGGTGCAGGTTCCCCAGTCCTGGTGGGGGCAGGTGCGGGAGGCAACAATTGATGTATCTCTCTCACAAAAATGTCTGTCTGGCTCTATCTTTGTCTCTCTCTTCCCCTCCTACCTCCCACCTCCCACCTCCCTCCCACTTTCTCTAGACATTAATGGAAAAAATATCCCAGGGTGAGGATTAAAAATAATAATAATAAATAATATCAATAAATATATCCTCAGGCAAGAATAAAAAAATAACAAGGTTATGGATAGGATACATGCAATTTTATTACATAAAGAAATTACTTAAAAAGACAGAAACTTAAATTTCCATACTGTGATCTCTTAAGGGAAAGATATGAGGCAAGAGGAAAGGACACAAGCACTTTCAAGGAATAACAATTAGGATCACAAGTGAGTAAGGCAGGGAAAAAAGAACCCATGGGCAGGAAGCAGACTCTCCTGATTAGTTCAAAGTCTTAGATCATGACTCAGGGAGCTTAGAAAGAGCAGTCCCCTAGACAGAGGACAAAACTCAGACACCTCCAGGGGCGAGATTTAGAATTAATAAGATTCATCAATTAATTAATTCCAGGAACTTTTTCAAAATATCCCCCTGCTTCACCAAACACAAAAAACATGGGTGAGGAGAGGATGATAATTGTAGAAGCTAGCAATGGGTACATGAGGTTTATTCGCTCTATGTGTTTTTAAATGTCTACAATACAAAGTTTTAAATAGCATTCAAAAGTTTAGAGCAGCCGTTCTCATCCTGTGGGTCGCAACCCCTTTGGGGGTCGAACGACCCTTTCACAGGGGTCGCCTAAGGCCATTGGAAAACACATATTGAATATATAATTACATATTGTTTTTGTGATTAATCTCTATGCTTTAATTATGTTTAATTTGTAACAATGAAAAGACATCCTGCATATCAGGTATTTACATTACGATTCATAACAGTAGCAAAATTACAGTTATGAAGTAGCAACAAAAATAATTTTATGGTTGGGGGTCACCACAACATGAGGAACTGTATTAAAGGGTCGCGGCATTAGGAAGGTTGAGAACCACTGGTTTAGAGAAAATAAAGTCTGGAAGAATTAGAATAACCAAGGAAATAATTTGCTTTTGAAAAGAAAGGAAAATACCAAGTTTTTGTTCTGCAAGTTTTGCCTGCACCATATGCTAAGTTTTCAAAGTTTTTTGTTCTTGTTCTTTATTGATTTCAGAAAGGAGAGGAGAGGAAGAGACAGAAGCGTTAATAATGAGAGACAAGCACTGACTGGCTGCCTCCCTCACGCTCCCCACTGGGACATTTAGGAGAAAACTTCCCAGCAAAATAACCCTCATCAGTTGATGTGAGATTCAACTGAGTTATAATACACAGTAGTTTACTTTGTAAATCATAAAGCACTATTAAGATTATTATTTTTTTAAAAAAATATATATTTTATTTATTTTTTTACAGAGAAGAAGGGAGAGAGATAGAGAGTTGGAAACATCGATGAGAGAGAAACATCGATCAGATGCCTCCTGCACACCCCCTACGAGGGATGTGCCCGCAACCAAGGTACATGTCCTTGACCGAAATCGAACCTGGGACCTTTCAGTCCGCAGGCCGATGCTCTATCCACCGAGCCAAATGGCTAGGGCTAGAATATTATTTTTTAATTACATATTTGAAAGGATGTCTGCCTGGTCAACCTCAAAATACCTGAAACTTTTTACAGAACAGAAAATGCAGAAAACTTTGCAAGTTTTTCTCAAGAAGTCACGGTGCAGGATAAGCAGCCAGCATTTTGTGAAAATCACAGCAGGCATCAATGATTTTTAGGAACAGAAAGAAATACATAGAGATGCTTAATTGCTGAAAACTTGCTCCGAGAGGATACTAATACAACTTCTGTAATAATCAGGTCTGGCAGAAGGCTGAAGTTCCTTAACCATCTGGTGGAGAAAAACAGCCTGACATTGAAAAGAATATTTCCTTTATCCTACTGTCAAAGATAAAGGGGAGGGGTGACAAATCCAGAAACTAGTGAGAGTCTGCGATAAGAGGAACTGCTCCAACAGAGAGATGCTGAAAGCCTGAGCCAGAAGAGTGTGACCGAGTGTGGGTGAGCCAAGTTGTGATTGCACAGTCCATGGGGTAGGCGGCTGTGGAAGGGGGGGGTGAGGGGGGGGCCTGAAATGTAACTGCGCTAAATACTGCAGTCATGGCAAAACTGAGGCAGAAATGTTTGTGGCTAGACACGCGGGGTAGATGTGTGAACCGGAGATGAGAATAAAGTTCCAGTGCCGGGAAGGTTTTCTGAAAGTTAGGCCTAGCGGTCCAGGTCAAAACGGTCTGCAGCAAGGACGACATTTGGTCAGCATCGTCAGATGATTCTTTGTGTCCGCTCTTCCAAGAAAAGTATTGAAATGGAAAGAAAATTTAAAAAAAAAAAAAAAAAAACCACCTCGTTAGGGCATCTTGGTGGTTTGATGATAAGTGATAGGTTTACACTAGATAATGCTTTAGGTAGCTTTTAACACTAAAGTTCCATAGGCCCATGAATCAGGCGCGGAGGTGTTACTAGCAATTCTTCCGAAGGACAGCGACACAGCACCTACTTTGAGTCAAGAGTTGTTTCAGAAACTAATAGTTTACTTAACATTATAAATTTAGTATGAAGAGGCTGTATAAAAATGCTCTGGTAAACAAAGGCAAGGCGATGAAAAGAATCACCCTGGTAAACACAACTTAAGTGACCAGCTGGCAACACCACCGCACTCCATTTCAACGTACATGACGCGTGTGTCATCAATTAGCCTCCAACTGAAAAGGATGGACAGCAACTTCATACGCTCATTGCCTGAATAAGCAAAGTGCTTTTGTGGCTTTCTGTCAATTTGAGGGAAAATTTCTCCTTGGGCAAACCAATACACAGACATATGAGGGTAAAGAAATATTACTACCCACAGGCAACTCCAAGACAGAAAATTTGATTTGGTTAAAAAGGATTTAAAGTGCTGAGCAAACACACTGACTTTGAGCAGAAATTCAAGAAAATTCCCATTCAACTTTGGAATAAAGTGGGTGATGCTAGACTACAACCAACGGAGCACACGTGGCCCAGGAAACCCCTGCTCAGCGCCCCGCGCGCCGGGCACCGGGAAGGCCACGCGGGAGTGGGGTCTGCAGCGGAGGAGGAAGATGAGAGGGCAACTTCTCCCTTTTTCTGCGTTTTGCGAATCCACCAGGGAAGCCGGGAGGGGAGGGGTTCCGATCACAGACGCGGAGACAAAGGCAGACGAAACGAATGCGAGTCCAGCTTTCGGAAGGAACGACTATGGGGCCGCGGCCCCTCCGCCCCAGACGAGACACCCGCCCAAACCTTCCGCCGCGGAACGGAAGGGGCAGGGGGGTCGCCGAGGGCTTTTGAAGAAACTGGGGCCGAGGGAGAAAGTTAAGGGACCGGGAGTGACGCAGCACAGCTCCCTCGCCCTGCGCCGCTGTGTGTGATCCGGCTCCAGGAGAGCCGGGAGCGCCGGGCATCAGTCCTCCTGACTCGCCCTCGCCACTCGGACCACAGACATCAATCATCCTTATGGGCAACAGTTACTTCCAGCGCCAGGGGGCGGCGCGGAGGTGCAGAGGGGTCAGCAGCCAACTGGCGGCCTCCACACAGGGCAGGGGGCGGGCCACAAGGTGGGGTGAGGGCTGCGGGCGGGTGAGGGCTGCGGACCCCGTTTTCCTGTCCCCAAGACCGGGGGGGGGGGCTGCCCGGGGAGCGAGGGGCCCCCAGCGCTCAGGCCTGCCCGGCCCAGGCCCCCCCGCGAAGCCGGGACCCCTAGGCGGCCGCTCCGGAGGGTCCCGCTGCCCAGCCCGGGGCGACCCGCCTCCGACCGCGAGGAGCCACCTACCGCGCGCCAGCTCCCAGCGAAGGGCGGCCGGACTCTCCGCTCACTGACTCACCGCGTCACCACCGAGCCGCGCGGGGCGGGAAGAGCCGCTCCTCCGACTTCCGGAGGAAGTCAAAGTGGAACCGGAAGTCGAGGGGCGGGGCGAAGGAGGCGCGACCTCCTCGGCTCATGGCGGGGTTGTTACAGGGATCGGGCCGGCTCCTGCGGCTTCCGGGTGGTCAGCTTCGGCTCCTCTCGCCTCGAGGTTTCGGGGTGTGGGGCCCGGCACCTGGGATCGAGGGCCTCTCCCTGAGGCCACGCTGCGCGCAGCCGGAGAAGGGATGGCGGGCCTGGGGGCTCCCCCGCGGCTGCCCGGGATGCCGGCGCCTCAGCTCCGCGATGCCGCCGCCGCCGGGGGCGCCGGGACCCGAGCCAAAGGGCCGCCGAGACCCCTCGCGCCCCTCGAAGCCCGGGGTGAGTGCACACGCGGAGCACCTCCTGCCCTGGTCGCGGCCGTCGGGCCCTCCCACCTGGTCGTCACCTCGGAAAGCACCCGGCCGCGCCTGAAATCGTCTGCGGCCCAGCCGCTCACCTGGGTCAACATTTTGGGTTTCCTTAGCGTCCTCCACCCGAAACTTTCCATTGTTGAGGGGTCAGGGCGTTTTGAGAATCTCGACACACGGGTCCCCCTTCGGAGGGTCGGTGTGCACCTTGATATTGAGCAAAATAGGGATCGTTGTTGCCTGCTGGATAGGTCCCTTTTTTTTTTTTTTTTTTTTTTTTTTTGAGAAGGGGGTTCTTTCAGGTTCTTCTGACCCAAAAAGAACTTACAAGCCACTTCCTCTAGCTGGTGGGTGAGGGCAGTGTTTGTTGGATCTGTGGGATGTCAATGAGTTAGGCCTGCACAGCCTCTGCATCTGGTGACTCGCAGAGAACCAGGAAATGAGGATGCCATGCGTTTGCAGGAACGTTGCACTCGCAGCCTCTTGCACTTTGCAAGCCAGGTTCACCTCCCGAACTTTACTTGGTTTATTGATATTCACATTAGCAGCACCAGCAGGTAATGAACTGGTTTTCAAGTCAGCAGTGGGGATCAGAGGCACACTGCTAGTTTTTTTCCCCCCCCAAATGAAAAGAAATGGGCTGAGCGGACTTGCCCTTGGAAACGTGCCTTGGTGGTTGCGTTTAGGCGCCCAGATACTGCTGCATCCGCAGACACTTTCAGTATGTCCTCATCCCAAATGGCATGAAACGTTCCGCACACTGAACGATATCAGGGCCCCCGTTTTGATATTTAAAAACTACGGTAATATGTTCAGTGTGGTTAAATGTCTGCGTCTTACTAGTGGTTTTGGTTTTGAAATCTCTGCCCCAGTAGCCCGTTTCCTGGAAGTCGCTAGCCGTCACGTTTGCCATTGGAGGAGCTTTATTGGCTGGAATGAAGCTCTTCAAGAAAGAGAAGACGGACAGTGAGTACATGTCATTTGGTCAGCTCTGCATAACGTCTTCCCTGCCTCTGGACTAGCATCTCTTTGTTTTTAGACTTTTAATTTTGAAATAATTTTAGGTTTACAGAAGAGGTGTAAATATGGCATAGAGCAGCGGTTCTCAACCTGTGGGTCGCGACCCCTTTGGGGATCGAACGACCCTTTCACAGGGGTCACCCAAGACCATCGGAAAACACATATATAATTACATGTTGTTTTTGTGATTAATCCCTATGCTTTAATTATGTTCAGTTTGTAACAATGCAAATACATCCTGCATATCAGATATTTGCATTACGATTCATAACAGTCGCAAAATTACAGTTATGAGTAGCAACGAAAATAATTTTATGGTTGGGGGTCTCCACAATGTGAGGAACTGTATTAAAGGGTCGCGGCATTAGGAAGGTTGAGAACCACTGGCATAGAGAGTTCTCATGTACCCATTACCTAGCTTCCCCTAATGTTGACGTGTCATGAAAACTGAGAAATTAGAATTGGTACACACGCTAGTCCTCACTAAACCACTCACTCACTTTATTTGGATTTCACTTGTTTTTCTGTTGCCTTTTACCTGTTCCAGGATCCAATCCAGCATAGCACTGTCCAACAATATGAAATGACTTCTTTTAGGACAGATTTGAACATAGTGCGAAGTCCAGAGGCTACAAAGATGACTAAGATGCATTCCAGCCTTTGCGATACCTGTGAAGTAAAGATTTTACTAGATGAGGTCCTATCAGGCCAGAGGGAAGTTCAGGGTGCTCTGAGGGCCAAAGGAAGGCTCAACCCCTACCATAAACCGCTGGGTATCAGCAGATGGAAAAAGGCCAGAGACTGACCATGGAAGACAGAGGGAGGGAGAACCTGTGGTGGGAAGCTAGGAACCGCTGTGGACAGGCACTTGAAGTGTTTAGAAATTGTTTACAACAAGTTTATATTTTAGCAAATATTCTAGGACTTCTTAAGATTTGTTTTAGAGTCTTCAGTAAATCTTTACAGTGTCACTTAAATCTGTTTTGATTTTTTTAGTGTCTCTTGATGCCATTATACACAGGATGGTGTTTAAATCTGGGAGTGAGAATTCATAGGCTTTAGAACCTGAGCAATATAAGATTCATGCAGATATTTAGACCTTTCTTTTGTATAACTGCTAGTACTTTATTGATATAATTTTCATATTCTAATAAGCAGTTAAGTTCCTTTAGTTTCACAGTGAAATAAAACTGAAAAGCTAGGAAAGTGTTGGTAAAGACATTTAAGGAAAATGCAAGCTTCATTTGACTTTAGTTTGGAATGTCACCTGCAATTAATAACATTTTTATTAAAAATGTATTATGATACATACAATATTAAAAGTGTTCCTAAATCATTTGAAAATATTTGCTTGACATGATGCCTCAGCATTTTTTAAATACTTTATTGTATATTTCTACAAATAAGGACATTCTCCAATATAATCACAATACAGTGTTCAAAATCAGAAAATCGACACTGATATGCTTTACTGTTGAGTGTTCAGACCTCTTTAAAGTGGTGCAGCCTGATGCCCTTTATGGCAAAAGTTGTCTGGTTTAGAACCACACCTCATGCCTAGTTGCGTTTTTAGTCTCCTTCAATCTGTAAGTTTTTCAGTTTTTACTTGACTTTCGGGACCTGATATCAGCTATCTCTCTAAAAACCCTGTTTCCTTTTTGTGGAGGAGGATATTTAGAAGTCGGGATACGAGTTTGTTGTTATTGGTATATGAGTTCAGTGTGTCTTCTCCCAGGTCCTCTCAGTAGACAGAGCTAGGAAAGAGATATACAGTATATGTATATCTTTTTATCTATATTTCTGTATATATAGAAACCATAAGTTCATTTTGTACCTCCAGTTTCTTTCCAGTACTGCAAGTTTCATTCTAGTTTTCTTTCTTTCTATTGTTCTAACTCCTTGTCCATTTGTAACTCTCTTATCTCTAATATATTTACTGATTTGATCAACCCCCGGTAAGCAAGTAAGCTCCCATCCCGTTGACCCCTCCCCTCAGCACACAGCTGCCCTCAGCACACTCAGGCTCAGACTTCCAATGCCAGGCCACCGCCTTGCCCTCTTGGGCTCAGGCATTCTGTATAGCTGTGCCCCCTCTCTCACCCGCATTATGGCACTCCTGTTGGCTTAGGATTGAATTGTTCCAGAAGAAATATTTTTACCACTTTCGTTTCTTATCGTCTTTAGTACATATTAGATTTAATTTGATTTTGTTTTATTTTATGCTTATTTTCCTTAAGAGGTTTTTTTCAGGTTCTTGAAAACTGACACTATTTCTTGTACATTTTGTGCCCACACAGCCATTAGTATAGTATGAATCATACATCAGGTATTGAGTAACTATGGTTATATTGACGATTTGTGTGTGTGTATTTGTGTCTGTTTAAGAGCTGGAGAAGGAACGGCAGCGAAGCATTGGAAAGCCTCTACTTGGGGGACCATTTTCCCTCGTAACTCATACCGGAGAGCCCAAAACTAATAAGGACTACCTGGGTCAGTGGGTATTGATTTATTTTGGTTTCACTCATTGCCCTGATGTTTGTCCAGAAGAACTAGAAAAAATGATTCAAGTCGTGGATGAAATAGGTAAGGAAGCCATCACTTACTATGAAAAGTATGTTTACTTAATGTCCTTAATGTTACTATGCTTTTCACATTCTAGTATTATTGTTAGATGGAGGTTTGTAATTATTTGGTTTGTGTGAACATAAAATCTTAGTGTTAGGCTTGTCTGTTGCTTGGATTCCCATGACCTATAAATTCTCCACCAAAAGAAGCTTGTTATGATGCTAAATATTAGTTTGCTTAAAAATGTCAATGTGACCCTACCTGGTTTGGCTCAGTGGATAGAGCGTCAGCCCACCGACTGAAGCATCCTGGGTTCAGTTCCCAGTCAAGGGCATGTACCTCAGTTGCAGGCTCAATCCCCAGTCCTGGTGCCGGCACGTTGTGGGAGGTAACCAATCGACATGGATGTTCCTCTGTCTCTCCCCTTCCCTTCCATTCTCTCTAAAAATCAATGGAAAAATATCCTTAGGTGAGGATTTAAAAAAAATGTCAGTGTGGTCTGGGTCTCTCTTAACTCTGCTTTGTATCCCTTTATTGTGGCTTCCATCATTGACTCCACTGTTGCCTTTCCCAGATGACTGTTGGTTAGACTGAAATCTGTGGGTGGTCTATGACGTGCAGTCAGGGGCATTTATTAGTACCAATAAGAAGGCAGGCTACATCCTTCTTAACACATTGCGTACCGCATAGAAATCTCTAAGACATACGCCAGGGACCGACGTTTTTGGGCAAACTGCACGTTACTTAAATCATCATAATGCACTTTAGGTGTTGTTTTTCAGTAATTATAACATTTTTATTTACAAAAACAATTAAACAGTAAAAGTTCCTAGTGCTTTTTTAACGTATGGCACTGTGTAAAACATTTTCCTCTATGAAGAGGGACCAAACAAAATTTACGTAAGTATCTAGATTTGCTCCTTTTTCCATGGGTGTGAAAAACGAGAACACCCGTGAGCGGTCCTTAACAGATGGCGCGTGAAACACGAGAAAACTCCTGAGCGGTAGGAAATGTGTTAAAA